TGGGTTGGTCCAGACAGACTCTGCAGACAGACCCCTCAAGAAATGACGGGAAATGCCCGACACTTTCCTCACCTGAACAAACTTCCCGCCTGAAGTTAGAAGACGTCTGAGCTGCAGAGGACACGTCAGGTAAAACCTACCTATATCAGTGTTAAAGAAGATCTTGTTGGAATTTCAGAAACATACACGCCTAATCTATACGTGGACTGTATGTGGAACTAGCTATCAAAAAATTGCCAGAAAGACCTTGTCGAGAAAACTGAGCCAAGATAATTGGCCAACCGTATAAGCGTTGTGTGTATTTCTGAATATTCATCATGGGCTCAAAGTCGTCATTATGTCCATTAGGAGACATGTTTTGGGGTAGTATCCCTTTATTTCTCATTTTTGTGGAAGGGTTGGGAGGGGTGTGTGTCATTTGCCATAACCCGCGGTCAACGATTGACAGCAACAGTCACATACCGAGTATGATGACAGTCCTAAGACGACGTGACCGGTGATGAAAAGCTAACCTTAATCCCTTTGATGAGTCAAGGCCTTGACAGACAACCGAAGTTCAAGTTATCCTTTCTTAACGTTGTTAACTTCGCTGTATCATCCTCAGAGGTTCCTGGTGTCATTTCCGTCATAAGATCACACTCATTAACGTGTTCCTCTTATTCATTGTCCATGTGATTGTCAGATTTCGCCAAACAACAAAGCCTTTGCTTTTGGGTTAGCAGTTTGTAAACTGGTTACTGCTATAGCAACTATCTTTTTTAATGCTTTTCATTTTAAGTAAACAAACAAATAAACACACGAAAAAAATAATAATATAGTCCACAACCCTACACAACCACAATTAAAAAAAGTCTACTGATGCAATGGCAAAAAAATCCATTGGAATCATCTTTGGAGAGATTTTGTTAAATATGCCTACTGTCGTTTGGCGTTTTTAAAACCGGACTTTAAAACAAGCTGATGTCGCATAATTTGAATTCAAGCTTTTGCCATTTTGAAATGGAAACAGTAAAAATTTGTAAAAAAATTGGGATTTTTTTATTTTTGTTAAATAAAAACAAAATAAAAAGCTCCAGAATTTTTTAACTCTCTTCATGACAAACCTCGTCTCGAAAGATCTCAAAGACATGATTGAAAAGAGCTCATTGAATTGTATTATAGGCGGCTTATTAACATCACACTACTAAGCAGTGCTATAAAGCGGAATGTGCGAGGGAGGGTGAGTGTGCGGGTTCACGAGCATGATCGCCCGCGAAGCAGGCGTTTGCTCGCCAGGAGGACATGGCGGCGAAGCCTCTCCAAGCGGGCTACTGGTGCAGCCTCGTCCTATTAAAAAAATAGATTAGGCTAAGTAAAAATGCAAATAAATCGAAGCGAAAAGCATACTGGGTTTTTGCATCTCCTTTAAAAAAAGAAGAGTGACTTATCCCTCGGATTGTACTTGGAAGAATATCAAAGTATTCCAAATTTTCGACTTTCCCCTTTATACTTATAATAACAAATGGTGACTTGCATATCTTGATGTCTCTTTGAATTCTAAGTTCAAACCCGAAATGGAATCCACCAACATTTCCTTTTCGATCCTTATGATTTTTCGATTCCTGCTATTTAAGAAAAAAAAGGAGGTCGGATAATCCATTGGCCTTTGGCTGTAGGATGGCAACCGCTAGCCACGGGATGTATACTTGTACGTACACGGTCTAATTAGCAAGAGGATATGTGACAGTGAAGTAGACACGGTGTACCGCAGACTTTCCAGACAAAGGAGGAAATGGCCGCTCATGTGTAATAGTTGTGGGGTAAAACAGCGCCCGAGACCAAGACCAAGTTGTCAGATTGAATTCCTGCGAGAGATAAGACTATGAGGTGTCCCAGGAATCATGCACGCCATTACAGATTATTGTAACAATATGGCGGCTCGTGTAGTTCCGTCGATCGACAGGTTTGTACTGAAACAGACAGATGTTACCAGGATAGCTCAGGCATTGGTTTCCATAGATATTTGGAGTGTACTTTCAGGACGGTCGGCCTTCTCATGCTAACATCGTCTCATGAGATCACAGTGCCTGTACAGTCGCCTCTGACACGGGTACCAGAGAACCCTTAAGGTGAACCAGGCGTTATTCTTCGTCAAAAAAATATAATTTTAAAAGAACATCTGGTTGTTTTTTTTTATATGGATAGCTTTACCGTCAATCAACTTTCAACACCACCATCCTAAGTTTTCACGCCAAAGGGTGATTAAAACTAATTGGGGAACGATTTTGCCTCGGGGTACCATTGTCTATTGGCAGCCATCCGATAACTCCATGCGAAAGCAGCCCTTATACTGAGCTCAGTCGACTATTACTTACTCTCTCCGATCACGCTCCGATGAATGAGGCACAGTGACGTGACACGGTGGGGGGTTCGTGCTCCCCTGGGTGCCCCCACCCTAATTTAAAATGTTTAATGCCCCGACCCCCCCCAAAAAAACCCCCCAAAATTAGTTGCCCTCAGTATCTACCCCCTGAAAAGTATTGGTGTACCCCAGGTGGTGCCTCCCACCCCTAGAATTGAGTTTAATCCCACGGCGCTGAGAGGCATGTCATTATTGCTTTAGCCAGTGGTCGGTGGCATCAAATTGTACAGGTACAGGTACAATAAATGATCGAAGACGCAATGCTTATCTATTCCTTTCTTCATGCACAAATATATTCCACCATCATGCACCAGCGGCGTAGCAACGGGAGGGGGTGGGCGGCGTGGGGGGCGCACGCCCCCCATACAAAAATCGTCACCTTCGCAGTCGCCCCCACCCCCCCCCCCCCCCTCCACTGGAAATTTGGCAATCGGAGAAAATTGTGTTACCATTGTTAGCGAGTTTACCATAAATTGACTATTTTTCACTATGTTAATTTACCTTTGGCCAAAACCCTGCTTTCCTTGATAGGCTGTACATTTTAACGTCCCATGGAACATGTATAGTGACACCCATTGTCTGACAATGACCATGAATCCGTTTTTAAACATACCCCATTAAAATATTTTGTGTCAACCTCCCCCCCCCCCCCCCAAAAAAATGATCTTGCATAGGCGGGGTGTCCAGTGAAAAAAACAAAAACAAGAACCTGTCTACCTTTCACCACGCAGGAATTGGACGCCCCTCCACTGTAACGTCCAGCCCCTCCCCCCGGCCCTGGGATGAGAACACTAGCTACGCTGCTGTCCATGATGGAATGTAAAACAAAAATGACAGCGTCAATGAGTAATTGGAACTCCAGCAGGTATGTGCAATGTCAAATAAAAGCTGAAATAATTTAGCAAACAGCTCAATTCAAATGAGGGCGCTATTTGAAGTTTCAGAGGCAAAAGACATTCGGCAACAGAGGTTCGCCCGTACCCCCCGCCCTGCAAACAGGACGCTGGGATACTCTGATGAATTCACGCTCTGATTGGTTGGATTTTACGTCACAAGTGACCTGCGCGTCATCAAGGTCATGACTCTGCAAGGTTTGAAACGGCCGTTAATAGCGTAATTTTTATTCCTAGGAGGGTTAGGGGCAATGTCATGAATAATTCATGTTTATCCATGAGAACGGACAATGACATCAACAGCATTGTTGTTAGTTACTCAACTAGTTACAATACATTAAAACATTTTAAAGAACGGTTGTCGTCGAGCTACCACACAGTAGCCTATGGATACAAAGATCCCTGGTTCGAATCCACGTCGTCGCTGCTCATTTTCATCAGCTAATTTTCTTCTCCAAATTTATCACTGAGATAATTTTAAATTAAGGGGAAAATAGAACGAGAACCTAAGTCTTGCAATGATTCAAAGGAAAAACTGAATTATTCATGACATTGCCCCTAACCCTCCTAGGAAAAAAATTACGCCGGCCGTTAGGACTGATTCATTACTCTTGTATTCCAGTTTAGAGATGGTTTTTTCTCGTTGAAAAGCGTAATAATGTAGGAAATTCTGTAAAACCTATTTGTGTTGTAAATTTACAATTCCCGTCACTCGCTCAGGCTCCGTTTCGAATCACAAACGGTCGGATTGCATTATGCGACGCTCAAAATTTTGTCCACATGGTTCACGATGAAACAGAAATCACATCCGGTATGGAATGTGCGCAATTCAACGTAGAGTTTTCGGATAGCATTTGCGCACATTGTCTAACTGCGGTCTTGAACAGCTGCAGCCAGATGCCTTATACATAGGTCATAGGGCACTTCCTTCACAAGATTCTGTGAAGCTCATCAGAGTATTACAGCGTCCTGATTGCAGGGCGGGGGGTACGACAGACAGAGGTCGCAATCGTGAATTCTTAAAAGAGTAAATTTTACGTCTCCCTATTATGAGATACTGAAATCCTTTGTTTCGTTTTTTACAAGACAACATGGCTATTTGGTTTGGGTAAAATCCTTTGTATTTGTCAAGATCTACCCACACCGTAGCTTCTTCCTACTGTGTCCGATACATCAACAAAAAAAGCATTTATAAATAGGATCCATACATAAGGATCACCGTGCAAGTATCGATTTGCCAAAAAAAGGTTTCCTTCCAGTTTGCTGCTCGTCGCCTACTAGTTGAAAGTGCGTGATTCCGGATGGGAAAGGATAATTTTAAGGATCAACCAGCCCCCCCCCAAAAAAAAATAACACAATCGGCTGAACAACACGAAAATGCCGATAATGACGTTACCGGTACCACAGGCAAACAAAAAGTAAAAGCATTCACACCCCCCCCCCCCCCCCAAAAAAAAGAAACCACGAGGTTTCTAAACAGCGCCACCAAGTTTCAAAGGGTGTCCAGCTCCCTTCCATAGGGATGCACATACTAATTGAAGTGAGAATTTCTACGCGAACTGATTATTAAAATGGCTGCATGCATGCTTGGGAAGCATCACTTTCGGAAGGTGATTTTGTTTTGGTGTGAATGTTTAAAAATGTTATTGGCTTTATAGTCTACCGAAAATTGAAAAGAAATGAACTGATGAAGGACAAGATAATAATTTAATTTTTGTCGGCTTGTGTGTTATTTGGCCCTGGACTTTGTCGATTTTACACTGTTTTCAATGGGGCTTGAATTGTTGTGGTGCACCCCTAAACAGGATACTATGTAGACTAAGCAAAAAGTCGGTTGAAAGATAAAAACAAAAGTATCGCGATTATCATTTTACATATACAATGTTAACATTATAATTGCTAACTTTCCAAATCTATATATGAACAATTTCGATACAGAAATATGTTTATACTTAACATGTTTTAATTCATTTGGAAACTGTTGTATAATTATTATTGGTGTAGTAAACAAAATCAAATTTGACTACACAGCATATTTACGTACAAACATCTACGAAATAGATAATTTATGTATTTACTTCAAAGTGCTTTTTCAATATTTTCTCTTTAATCTGCTCAAGGATTATAACTGCTACTGGAAATCCTAAAATGACTCGGAAAAATCTGAGAAAGTTACCGTATATCAATGATGCGCTCCATTAAAAACAAGAACGAAAGAACAAATATGCTAAAATGGCATCATTTGACGAGGACAGAAATATGCCAAAAGAGACGCTCTACTTTCTATCTATTTACTTTAATACAGTCGGTGGAATTAGCCTAGAATAAATCTTGCCTAACAGAATATTTCAAAGTCTATACAAAGCGAGGAGATGCAAGTATTTTCTCCTTTTATATTATAGGCCATACACATTTCAGACCGTTGTTCTGACAGCAACCATACCATTCATGTTCACGTTCAGATATACTCAACATTCACATCTTCATTGGAAGAGCACAGATAAGATGGTCGCTTTTCAAGCGCTAAACCCTCCAAAATCTTCTCGTGAGATGGCGCACAGGTCGTACGGCTGCGGGGAGTGCGTGATGCCACCCTTGCCCTTCAACGCCAGCGGAGGAGAATTTTGGGGTTTCTTGAAGGTGAATTGGTGCATGAAGAAACTGAAGAAGAGGAACAGTTCCATCTTGGCCAGGTGTTCCCCGATGCAGCTCCGCCTGCCTACAAGTCAAAAATAAATCAAAGTCCAAAAAGAAAGTGATTGGTTTACGTTCATTTCTTAATATAAAATGCACTTGCAGACAACTAGTCTACTGAGTTCTTATTTAACTAACCCCCGTTGTCACAGTCTAGTCTAATCACGTTTGAGTGACCATGAATTACTCATCCTCGCTGTTATGGCATAGCGCCCTCATTTGTACTCAAGAGACTACCGCTTCGTTCATTATTGTGGTTTGAGTGAAGGTTGACTTACCAGTGCTGAACGGTATCAACTCTTCTGGTTTCACAGCCACGCCTCTTTCGTTCAGAAATCGTTCTGGTTTGAACTGCTCCGGCTCGGGCCAATGCTTAGGATCTCGAAAGATAGTCCACATGTTTGGCACAAGCAAGGCATCCTTGGGGATGAAGAAGCCTCGGAGATAGATATCCGAAGCAGCGGCGTGTGGGACGCCCAAGGGAACGATGTTGGCCAGGCGTTGGACCTCCCAGATTACTGCTCGAGTGAAGTGTAGCTCCGGAATATCGGCCATTCTTGGCATCCGGTTGCGACCCACAACGTCGTCGATTTCTGCCTGGACTCGCTTCTGGACGTCAGGGTTTACCATCATGTACAGGATTGCCCACTGGAGAGTGGTGGCCGTAGTCTCCGAACCAGCCGCGAAGAGACTCAAAATAGTACCGACGATGTTACGTTCACCCAGATGACCGAATTTCGAAGCTTTGAGATGTTTCCCATCGGGAAGCATACCCTCTTTATCTCTACTTAAATTCTGTTGGATTTCCATAAGATACGCGTCGGTGAAATCCTTCAAATTATCAGCGTCGAAGGTTTTGCGGTGGGTGTCGATAACGTTCCGTGCAAAGTTAAGAAGTTCTTCAAAATTTGACAGAAGCTCAGGAATGGGGAGAAAAGGCAGATATCGTAAGCTTGGTATGAATGTGATGGCACCTCCACCTCCCACCAGCTTGATGTTACGGCTCATTAAACCAAGGAGATGCATAAACTCCTTATCGTCGTACTTGTAGCGCTTTCCGAAGATGACGGAGCAGATGACATTAGACACTGCGTTGCCAAGGAACGGTTTCGGATTGAATGGCTTGCCTTTGAATGCGGCGAGTTCTTTCATTAATTCCTCAGCCTCAGTGCCTATCTGCTCCTCGAATGAAGACTTGCCGACCCCAAAGCTCCGGAGTACAGTGAGGCAGAACCGACGCAGTTCGAGCCATGCTTCGCCGTTAGATGCAGCAACCCCTTTTAGAAAATAATGCAAAGTTAACCAAATTTAGCCGGTATTTGTATACAATATTGTTGATGGTTGATATTGCAATAGTGAAAAAGAGCAAAATCACTAAGTAGTAATGATTACATGTCAGCTCGTTGAAGCATTTGTGTTTCGCGTGTGCATTTTGAAATAAAAATTCGAACCAGCCAACCGATCCCGTTTAGCTCAGTAGTGGAGTGGTAGGACTAAGACGTCTGCACTAGATAGCAGGAGGTCGTGGATTTGAGTCCCACCCGAGTGATTTTTTCCAACTTTCACTCGGGAGGTTACACACTGAGTACAAAGTTTTTATACGTCGGTGAAGGGCAAAACCTAATTTGATTTACATCGCCCCAACGCAAAATTTAAAAAAATCCATCTTATATGGATACAAATTGTGGGGGGTTCTTTTCGTTTATTTACTTAGGCTACACAACAAGAGATCATAATCTGAAAATGCGTTTACGTTTTCTTTACACTTTATGAAATGAAATAATCCACATGTACCTGTAACGGATTGAACTATTTGTTGAATTGATGGTGCTGGAAACAACCATGAAGCGGCACTTAAAAGTAATGAATTGTTTACAAGTATTCACAATGATGCACGACATATTGTCAACGTGCGCCTTTTGAAACCATGACGTTTTCTGCTGATGACTTACCTTCCAATTTTAATACCTCAGTAAAGAGACTTTTAGGTCTGTTGCTAAGTTGTGGATGTTGGAACGCTTCCTTCACCAACGCGTAGTCGTTCAAGACCACAACCGTCTTGTTGAAGATTTTGATGCGAAATATGGGCCCATACTTAGCGGCGTACTTTTCAAATTGATGGTGGAACTCCAACCCCCGAAGCATGCACCAGACCATGGCTGGGACAGAACCGAGAAGTGGGAATCCCCAGGGCCCTGGAGGAAGGTTCTTGGGACGGCCAAGCAACCAGCGAAGAACCAGGAGCAGAAACACGCCCAACAGAACGGTGCGAACGTCCAGGAAATCCATGACGTAGGGAACAACGGACTTGCAAGATGTATGATAAGTGTCAATACATGTACGTGTGCTCTCGTATGGAACGAATTCTAACGGAAGTAAACCGTCCGAACAGAGAGCGGCGTGAATTCGAACGTCCTGTTTAAACGACTACCAGTTTGCACTCTGTTTGCAACACAAAGAATCAAACAGCCAACCCTGTACGAGGTTGGAAAAGTGTGTGAACACGCACACTCACGATATCTCACGCATGACACAGCTTAAACACGCACACTCACGATATCTCACGCATGACACAGCTTAAAAGGGTTGCTCCGGGTCAAACTAAACAATTCCAATTTTTTTTCTGCTCTGCACTTTTTATTGTTAGTAAGCCCAGCCTATCTTTGACCCCGGCGTAATCTTAGTAGTAGGGTGACGTTGCAAATAAAACGTTCGGATGCATGGATGTTGCCAGGGTTCTCTTTTTTAGGGGGGGGGGGAGCACATCCCCCCCCAAAAAAAAAAATCCTTGTACTTTTTCTATCTTATTCTCATTTCTTTTTTCGAGGGTGGGCGGGGGACATTTTGCCCTACCACCCTCAAATGACACCCTGCAGCCTGCGCCAATTTTGTTGAAATGTGTATTGAATTAATAACAAATATGACTCCACACCTCTTTTTCTTTTCTTTTTGTTCTCATTTTTTCTCCCTTTTTGGTTTTTATTTTTTTTTCCGGGGGGGGGGGGGAGGAAGCGCCTTCTTGCGCCCCACGCCCCCACTCTCGTGACGCCCATGTTCGGACCGATGTAAATCTGTGCACAGCAAGTGCAACGACTAGGTTTGTGGGGTTAATGTTTTAGTATCTGTCCTATCTGCGTTTTAAAATCTGTTAACAGCTTAAATGTGTGGAGTCAAAGAAAACAAAGTGATAACTGGAGGAGAGTGGAGAGATATAACTAAAACAGAGAGTTCAAACTCATGCGAAAGCAGTTTTTTTAATTGGACATACCAGATGTGACTTTTTTTTACAACTTCAAAAGCTATTCAACATGCTTATATTTATCACGTCCTTGTGTATTGTCAATTGATTACTACATGAAATAAAAAAAAACCCATTGACTTCCACGTTTTACTCGACAGAAACGACGTGAATCATGCCTACTTTGAACTTTGGTGAGACCCAGATTAGCGGAGTAAAGAAAACGCTGTGTTAATAAATAACTGATGACGAGGTTGATTTCTTTGGCGCTTATCAGTATTGTAATCCATCTGTATTTAAACATTTCCAAGTGATAAATGGTTAGTTTGTGGACACTCCTAGCTATCTTATGGATCTAGGGAAAAGTTGTCGGTTGCCTCTATCCACAACCAACATCGATAAAAAAAATACTCCGTCCCCTTTGACCCTTTTCATTTCTAAATTAAATTGAAACGCTTCCCTGATTATTCGACAAAAACATCTTTTTTATAATTATGTATTCCACAGAATCGACAAATTCTATTCCCCCTTAATCGAAATACCCCAACGTCTATCATTTTCCGTGAAAAATGGTCTTCAACTAATCTGCCTTCAAACCTCTTTGCCGCCCTTCCAAGGTCTAAAAATCAGGCTCTAATCTTGCCAAAGCTTTGGGATTGCCGCGGAAAGGTTTGTCACACGTTGTTTTCTCGGCGCACACTTTGTAAAACACGAAATCCGGTTTTTGTTGAAATATGCAGCTTTGGGAAACGGATTAAATTTACGGTACCACTGAGACCTTGCCCTTGAAGTTGAACTTGCGGGTCGTTAAACCTTTGGCCTGTCCCCTTATCATGTTGTTATAGTTGACGTTGTCACAGTAAATTTGACCTTTATGAATCGTTAATTTCTGGGGAATTTATCAATATTGTAATGGACTGGATTAGTTATATTTCTGAACAGAACGACTTGAACTTTTTAAAAAAATAGTCTATATATAGCCTTTAAAACATATATAGGGTAAAAGTCGTCATCTCTGCCCAGATCTGACAGCGACGAACAAGCAAGAACTGCCTCAACTTTGCCCAACGTGTGTTGGTCAAACCGAAAACAAAAGATCAAAATAACGCTGACACAAACTGTTTTTCATTCTCATAATCGCTACATGCGTACGTTGTAAAGGGCGAGTCAAAAGAAAGTGACAGAGTACATGTGATTGGTTGTAGGCCTAATTGTAGTAAATGTGAAATTCCACGTAATTTGCATACTTTAAATAACGTCAAGTTATCTCTATTTTTAAGTAATAGAACACAATCCAGCTGTCTGTCACTGAACATTCACCAATACGCATTGATGAATATCATGGGGGTATACCTCCATGAATAAACGAAAAGTTCCGAAGGGAAAGAGACCCATGTGAACAAGACTTGTTCCTTTAATAGTGACAGCGCAAATCTCAAAATCTGACAGTAAAAATATAGTGTCTCAGTTTGACTCAAATTATTAAAATCTCAATTTGTATTTGAATGCCTGTGTGTAATCTCTGGTTCCCGCTCAGCTGAATAGCTTCCAAGCATTTAGCAATCTACTGACAGATGTAAAAAAAAAAATGTGTTCTTTTAGCAGAACATGCATAACTTCTGATTGCATGCATCAATATTGCATGTGTTTTTTTCACGAGTAGAAGAACATGCGCGTTAATACATGTTCTATGTATGTATCAAATTTAATAGTTTTTAAAAAGAAAAATTCATTAATGCAGGTCACTTTCTTTTTGACTCACTCCATTGAAGGCCCATGACGTTTTATTATTTAAAAAAAAACAAGCTCTACTTTCTATCTATTTATTTTAGTACAGCCGGTGGAATTAGCCTAGAATAAATCTTGCCTAACAGAATATTTCAAAGTCTATACAAAGCGAGGAGATGCAAGTATTTTCTCCTTTTATATTATAGGCCATTCACATTTCAGACCGTTGCTCTGACAGCAAACATACCAATCATGTTCACGTTCAGATATACTCAAAATTCACATCTTCATTGGAAGGGCACAGATAAGATGGTCGCTTTTCAAGCGCTAAACCCTCCAAAATCTTCTCGTGAGATGGCGCACAGGTCGTACGGCTGCGGGGAGTGCGTGATGCCACCCTTGCCCTTCAACGCCAGCGGAGGAGAATTTTGGGGTTTCTTGAAGGTGAATTGGTGCATGAAGAAACTGAAGAAGAGGAACAGTTCCATCTTGGCCAGGTGTTCCCCGATGCAGCTCCGCCTGCCTACAAGTCAAAAATAAATCAAGGTCCAAAAAGAAAGTGATTGGTTTACGTTCATCTCTTAATATAAAATGCACTTGCAGACAACTAGTCTACTGAGTTCTTATTTAAATAACCCTCGTTGTCACAGTCTAGTCTAATCACGTTTGAGTGACCATGAATTACTCATCCTCGTTGTTATGGCATAGCGCCCTGTTTTGTCTCAAGAGACTACCGCTTCGTCCATTATTGTGGTTTGAGTGAAGGTTGACTTACCAGTGCTGAACGGTATCAACTCTTCTGGTTTCACAGCCACGCCTTTTTCGTTCAGAAATCTTTCTGGTTTGAACTGCTCCGGCTCGGGCCAATGCTTAGGATCTCGAAAGATAGTCCACATGTTTGGCACAAGCAAGGCATCCTTGGGGATGAAGAAGCCTCGGAGATAGATATCCGAAGCAGCGGCGTGTGGGACGCCCAAGGGAACGATGTTGGCCAGGCGTTGGATCTCCCAGATTACTGCTCGAGTGAAGTGTAGCTCCGGAATATCGGCCATTCTTGGCATCCGGTTGCGACCCACAACGTCGTCGATTTCTGCCTGGACTCGCTTCTGGACGTCAGGGTTTACCATCATGTACAGGACTGCCCACTGGAGAGTGGTGGCCGTAGTCTCCGAACCAGCCGCAAAGAGATCCAAAATAGTACCGACGATGTTACGTTCACCCAGATGACCGAATTTCGAAGCTTTGAGATGTTTCCCATTGGGAAGCATACCCTCTTTATCTCTACTTAAATTCTGTTGAATTTCCATTAGATACGCGTCGGTGAAATCCTTCAAATTATCAGCGTCGAAGGTTTTGCGGTGGGTGTCGATAACGTTCCGTGCAAAGTTAAGAAGTTCTTCAAAATTTGACAGAAGCTCAGGAATGGGGAGAAAAGGCAGATATCGTAAGCTTGGTATGAATGTGATGGCACCTCCACCTCCCACCAGCTTGATGTTACGGCTCATTAAATCAAGGAGATGCATAAACTCCTTATCGTCGTACTTGTAGCGCTTTCCGAAGATGACGGAGCAGATGACATTAGACACTGCGTTGCCAAGGAACGGTTTGGGATTGAATGGCTTGCCTTTGAATGCGGCGAGTTCTTTCATTAATTCCTCAGCCTCAGTGCCTATCTGCTCCTCGAATGAAGACTTGCCGACCCCAAAGCTCCGGAGTACAGTGAGGCAGAACCGACGCAGTTCGAGCCATGCTTCGCCATTAGATGCAGCAACCCCTTTTAGAAAATAATACAAAGTTAACCAAATTTAGCCGGTATTTGTATACAATATTGTTGATGGTTGATATTGCAATAGTGAAAAAGAGCAAAAATCACTAAGTAGTAATGATTACATGTCAGCTCGTTGAAGCATTTGTGTTTCGCGTGTGCATTTTGAAATAAAAATTCGAACCAGCCAACCGATCCCGTTTAGCTCGGTAGTGGAGTGGTAGGCCTAAGACGTCTGCACTAGATAGCAGGGTTATAGCAGGAGGTCGTGGATTTGAGTCCCACCCGAGTGATTTTTTCCAACTTTCACTTGGGAGGTTACACACTGAGTACACAGTTTCTATACGTCGGTGAAGGGCAAAACTAATTTGACTTACATCACCCCAACGCAAAATTTAAAAAAAATCCATCTTTAATGGATACAAATTGTGGATTTTTTTTTCGTTTATTGACTTAGGCTACACAACAAGTGATCACAATCTGAAAATGCGTTTACGTTTTCTTTACACTTTATGAAATGAAATAATCCACATGTACATGTAACGGATTGAACTATTTGTTGAATTGATGGTGCTGGAAACAACCAAGCGGCACTTAAAAGTAATGAATTGTTTACAAGTATTCACAATGATGCACGACATATTGTCAACGTGCGCCTTTTGAAACCATGACGTTTTCTGCCGATGACTTACCTTCCAATTTTAATACCTCAGTAAAGAGACTTTTAGGTCTGTTGCTAAGTTGTGGATGTTGGAACGCTTCCTTCACCAACGCGTAGTCGTTCAAGACCACAACCGTCTTGTTGAAGATTTTGATGCGAAATATGGGCCCATACTTAGCGGCGTACTTTTCGAATTGATGGTGGAACTCCAACCCCCGAAGCATACACCAGACCATGGCTGGGACAGAACCGAGAAGTGGGAATCCCCAGGGCCCTGGAGGAAGGTTCTTGGGACGGCCAAGCAACCAGCGAAGAACCAGGAGCAGAAACACGCCCAACAGAACGGTGCGAACGTCCAGGAAATCCATGACGTAGGGAACAGCGGACTTGCAAGATGTATAAGTGTCAATACATGTACGTGTGCTCTCGTATTAAACGAATTCTAACGGAAGTAAACCGTCCGAACAGAGAGCGGTGTGAATTCGAACGTCCTGTTTAAACTACCAGTTTGCACTCTGTTTGCAACACAAAGAATCAAACAGCCAACCCTGTACGAGGTTCGAAAAGTGTGTGAACACGCACACTCACGATATCTCACGCATGACACAGCTTAAACACGCACACTCACGATATCTCACGCATGACACAGCTTAAAAGGGTTGCTCCGGGTCAAACTAAACAATTCCAATTTTTTTTCTGCTCTGCACTTTTTATTGTTAGTAAGCCCAGCCCACCTTTGACCCCGGCGTAATAGTAGTAGGGTGACGTTGCAAATAAAACGTTCGGATGCATGGATGTCGCCAGGGTTCTCTTTTTTTTAGGGGGGGGGGAGCACATCCCCCCCCCCAAAAAAAAAATCCTTGTACTTTCTCTATCTGATTCTCTTTTTTTTTTCGAGGGTGGGCGGGGGACATTTTGCCCACCCACCCTCATATGACACCCTGCAGCCTGCGCCAATTTTGTTATAATGTGTATTAAATTAATAACAAATATGACTCCACACCTCTTTTTCTTTTCTTTTTGTTCTCATTTTTTCTCTCCCTTTTTGGTTTTTATTTTTTGTTTTTCAGGGGGGGGGGGGGGGGAAGCGCCTTCTTGCGCCCCACGCCCCCACTCTCGTGACGCCCATGTTCGGACCGATGTAAATCTGTGCACAGCAAGTGCAATGACTAGGTTTGTGGAGTTAATGTTTTAGTATCTGTCCTATCTGCGTTTTAAAATCTGTTAACAGCTTAAATGTGTGGAGTAAAAGAAAACAAAGTGATAACTGGAGGAGAGTGGAGAGATATAACTAAAACAGAGAGTTCAAACTCATGTGAAAGCAGTATTTTTAATGGGACATTCCAGATGTGACTTTTTTTACAACTTCAAAAGCTATTCAACATGCTTATATTTATCACGTCCATGTGTATTGTCAATTGATTACTACATGAAATAAAAAAAAATTGACTTCCACGTTTTACTCGACAAAAACGACGTGAATCATGCCTGCTTTGAACTTTGGTGAGACCCAGATTAGCGCGAGTAAAGAAAACGTTGTGTTAATAAATAACTGATAACGAGGTTGATTTCTTTGGCGCATATCAGTATTGTAATCCATCTGTATTCAAACATTTCCAAGTGACAAATGGTTAGTTTGTGGACACTCCTATCTTATGGATCTAGGGAAAAGTTGTCGGTTGCCTCTATCCACAACCAACATCGATATAAAAAAATACTCCGTCCCCTTTGACCCTTTTCATTTCTAAATTAAATTGAAACGCTTCCCTCATTATGTGACCAAAACATCTTTTTTATAATTTTGTATTCCACAGAATTGACAAATTCTATTCCCCCTGAATCGAAATACCCCAACGTCTATCATTTTCCGTGAAAAATGGTCTTCAACTTATTTGCCTTCAAACCTCTTTGCTGCCCTTCCAAGGTCTAAAAATCCGGCTCTAATCTTGCCAAAGCTTTGGGATTGCCGCGGAAAGGTTTGTCACACGTTGTTTTCTGGGCAAACACCTTGTAAAACACGAAATCCGGTTTTTGTTGAAATATGCAGCTTTGGGAAACGGATTAAATTTACGGTACCACTGAGACCTTGCCCTTGAAGTTGAACTTGCAGGTCGTTAAACCTTTGTCCTGTCCCCTTATCATGTTGTTATAGTTGATGTTGTCACAGTAAATTTGACCTTCATGAATCGTTAATTTCTGGGGAATTTATCAATATTGTAATGGACTGGATTAGTTATATTTGTGAACAGAACGACTTGAACTTTTTTTTGTAAATAGTCTATATATAGCCTTTAAAGACATATATAGGGTAAAAGTCGTTGTCATCTCTGCCCAGATCTGACAGCGACCAACAAGCAAGTACTGCGTCACCTTTGCCCAACGTGTGTTGGTCAAACCGAAAACAAAAGATCAAAATAACGCTGACACAAACTGTTTTCCATTCTTATAATCGCTACATGCGTACGTTGTAAAGGGCGAGTCAAAAGAAAGTGACAGAGTACATGTGATTGGTTGTAGGCCTAATTGTAGTAAATGTGAAATTCCACGTAATTTGCATACTTTAAATAACGTCAAGTTATCTCTATTTTTAAGTAATAGAACAAACAATCCAGCTGTCTTTCACTGAACATTCACCAATACGCATTGATGAATATCATGGGGGTTTACCTTCATGAATAAACGAAAAGTTCCGAAGGGAAAGAGACCTGTGAACAAGACTTGTTCCTTTAATAGTGACAGCGCAAATCTCAAAATCTGACAGTAAAACTATAGTGTCTCAGTTTGACTCAAATTATTAAAATCTCAATTTGTATTTGAATGCCTGTGTGTAATCTCTGGTTCCCGCTCAGCTGAATAGCTTCCAAGCATTTAGCAATCTAATGACAGATGTAAGAAAAATGGGTTCTTTTAGTAGAACATGCTTAACTTCTGATTGCATGCATCAATTGCAGGTGTTTTTTTTACAAGAACATGCGCGTTTAATACATGTTCATGTAAGTATCAAATTTGATAGTTTTTAAAGGAAAAATCATTTATCCAGGTCACTTTCATTTTGACTCACCCTATTAAGGGCCCATGGCGTTTTGTTATTCTCCAAACTAGAATAACGTCATAACAGAATGGAAACTTGAAATCTCAAATCCGTTTCCCCTCAGATTTTGTCAGTTTTATATTCTGTTCAGTTGGCTGCATATATCATTATTTCCCTTAGATTTCTGTGTGTATAATTTCTAATCATTATACTCGTGTGATATTTTCACTTGTTGAAGTATTAAAAACAGAGAAAACAATTACAACTCAATCAACTTTGTAATGATTCACCGCATACAATTGGTTTTATTGCAATCGCTTTTTATTTCAATATGAAGACAAAAACGAACTACATGTAGTTAAGTTTTGATACTTAAATTTAAGTTGAATTGAAATATCAAAACTGGCCTCGGTGAGGGCGCACCGTGCAACGGGGCTATTCCTCAGGAATTGATGGCTATACAACACATCGCACAATTCAGACGATTTTGAAAATAGGATGTACTTTGTACGCAAGGGGATATCTAGGCTGAAGAGTTTCATGTATCACAAGTCGAAACAAAAGTCAGTTCCAAAGTAACAGGACATGAACAATGACAAAACAATACCGACTTGTGATTGACTTGTGAATGACTTATGATTGACTTATGATTGACTTGTGATTTTGACTTGCAATTGACTTGCGATTGACTTGCGATTAAACAGTGATTTGACTTGTGTATGATTTTTGATTGACATGGGACTGACTTGTGATTGACCTGTATTATACATTTGGACTAACTTGTGAGTGAATTGTGATCAATTTGTGATTGATTGGCAAATCTGTTAGTACTTGCAATAAAATAAAGTTTGTAAACTGTTTCCATTATCTTTCTAATGTTCTGACAGATGCTGTCTACAGCTGGCCGTTCATGAGCACCTGCACCGCCATCGAGATGTTAGTGACCACACCGATCATGTACGAGAACAGTCGCGCGGGCTGGGGGAGGGGAGTCAGGTAGGCAACGGTGTGGAAGAAACGGGACGCCACGAACGCACGGAAATGCCAAGTCGCTGCGAAGACACTAGGGCCGGTCAGAACATACAGCAGACCCAAGACCAGAAAGGATGGGATGTTTTCCAAGTCGTTAAGGTGGCATCTGTGAGGATGAAGGACATAGAAGAGATGTGGGCTTAGAATGACTTAAAGTTCTTGAAACTGACATTCTTTGAATATGACGTGAAGTAAATGTATAACAGCAAGGAGGTGAATGTAATATGGTACATAACAGCACCATGTTTTACAAGAAAGACAATACCCACAAACCCACAACAAGAAAAACCCACAAGTACCTTCGAACACGTTCGATATCGTCGTCCCGTCGCACCAGTTCCTTCTTACCAAATGCATCCTCTAGATTGATGAATACCTACATAGAATTAAAGGGAATTTACATCATTGGCTTTTGCTGTAATTTTCAGAAATGAACTAGTTGAGGGGTTAGTATAACAAATCAAATATTGTTACATTGACATGTTTGAAGTTTTGTGTTCGAAAATGCTGGAAAAACCAAGAAAAACAAAAATGTTCAAGTAGTCTGGTTCCCTGACTCCACTAAAGATGAAATGAATCAACTTATAGTTGCCGGAAAATTGTAAGGTAATGGAACCAGTCTAACTGGCCTGCATCCATTCATGAACATGTAACCAATAGCAAACAAAATTTGGACTGAAAAAAATGGTAAATTTGGAGCAGTAGCTGAAAAATAGTTAGGTTTTTCCAACAGTGGTCGGCCGACCACCGTTGGAAATTTATACAAAATACCAATTTTCTTGAAAATGACTTCACACCTGGTGCCATAACTTTACAGGATGCTTTAGACTGTCATTTACCAACATCCTAGTAAGGTATTTCGTAAAAAAATGGTAGTTTTATTTTTCGATGTTTGCAAATGTTGTATATTCCCTTTAATGAAGACATCTTATGAGTAATGCGGGTGATATTGACGTCGTGTGAACGAAGGCATCCAATGCTTCCATCCATAATGAAAACTTTCGGCCCCAAACGCGCAAAAGCTCCTGTGTGTGAGAGAGCCGTTGTAGCGTGAATTTACGTTTTTATGAAATTCGGACTCATTGGTAATAACGCGCATGCGTAAGTATGGTAATTAGGAAAGTGACCGGTCACGTGAGAAGGATTAACCAATAATAGGGAAAAGGGGTCCGATTTTCATAGGAGTCGGATTTTCATGTGACACCGTCATTCATGCACTCAACTCCACAGGATTGACCTTGCAATTAGCATACCGCATACTACACTGGGGCAGTCTGATAAACAAGGGAGATTTGGATTGATCCATTACATGCATGGGGGGAGACCAAAACGCTCAAAGTTTATCTGTGTGGTAAAATAAACAACAGAGATAAACAAGATGAAACAAAGCATGCAAATGGAGACTGCTCATCGTTTTTAGAACAATTTTATTTGCATCATAAAACACTTAGACAGAATAATGGCACAGATACATTAATATATAAAACATTTGTGAAAATAATTATTTGTACTGATAACAAATTCTGATTTCTGCAAAATTGCAAGGCTGTTATATATATATTTTTTAGAATACTGTCGAGTGTGTTACAGAACATTTTTCATAATATAGCACCATCTGACCCGTAATGACAACTTTTGATCTTGAGTGATTTGGCATAAATATAGTGCCGCGTGTACAGTTTTCAAATTGGCATAAAAGGCATTATGTTGATAAACAGGTTAACTATTTCCATAATGACATTGACAAGTTTGGATGGCTTTGGCAAGGGAAATAAAAAAATACAACTATACAGTATTTACATTATACATCTAACTGGGATGCGAATAAACCCTGAATTTCCACAATAAGCATGGTTGTGACAAAGGCTTATTTGCAAATAAAGTTAATTGGTTCATAATAATAAAAACAATACTTTGATTAGAAATAAACGACCAACATATCGATATTAAATTCAGTAATCCATTCATATCTATTAGTTAGGGCTCTCGAAAACAGCCGTCAGACGTCCCGGGACAACCACAATATTTTGTTCAACAACCAGAAGTTCCAGGTTGCCAACCCAATGGGAAACCACTTTTTCCAGCAATACTTATATTTTCCACTATTTTCCACTAACTTCCTTATTGAAAATGAAATTCGGGCAACCAGATTTTAAACACCCCTGTCCGAAGGGCAACCACATGTTTTGAAATTTCGCAAGCCCTGCAAATGTAATACTGGTAATGGAAACAATGTTATACGGTTACAAACAATTCACAACAAATCCTGACAAACTAAATGTATAATGCAAACTAACACTATACTGCAAACAATAATGATCCAAATGTCGAAAAAAAACTGTTAAGATCAAATATTAATACATGAAATCAAAACATAGTGAGCACACATCTTATTGTGCTAGTACACGATTCTTTGGTTTTGTAATTCCTGATTGAAAACATTAAGTATAGAGAATTTGCACTCAAATCAGTATTTAATTACATCATTTTAACCCTGTCTTTGTCCAAAATAGAAGAAGAAAACAAGAAAACCGCAACCCGAATACGCATTTGTGGGGGTATGTAACCTTATGTTTATTAATGAACACAAGTTCGTTTGTTGTGACCATTTTCTTTGCAAAGGCTGCAAGTGACTGTCCACTTCGGCTTTCTTTTGAACTGCCCATGCAAGATGTGCAACCGATGTTGCTTTGACATTATTTGTGACATGGCGGCGGGACCGAAATTAGTTGACCTATAGTACCATTTTGTAACTAGATCATTAAGTTTTTCCAACCCTTGCTGGCAGAAATGGGATATATTTCCATGGAGTCGCATAGCCTCTGGAACATGATAGGCCATTAGATGCATGTACGGTGTGATGTCAGTACTACATGTACAGTTAACTGTGTAGAACAAAATGGACCCAGTCCTTAGCTGCTCGTTCGAAGCTATCAATCTCTGTATCTGTCATTTTTTCTCATTTCTGCCAACAAGAGTGGAAAGTTTTGCCACAATATTTTCCATTCATCTAGTTTTGGGTGGTTTGGAATCAAAGATTCAAGGTCCATATTTTTCAATATTTTCCGGTGTTCAGGACCTCTGAATGACCTATATTCAATTTTACCGTTGTTGATGTAAAACTTCCAGTCACTTATCCCAACTTTGTCATGAATGAACTCTTGAAATTTGTTCACATGGACTGAATTCTCCAACTTCTTTTTCGTGACAGTGTGTTTTGAAATGTTGTCCAGTTTCAATAAGTAGGCAAACAGGTGACCTACTAATTGATCACAAATTCTTAAACAGAGATGCAGTGTGTCCTGAACGACCCAATAGATAGGTACAGAGAGGAAAATCGGATGTTCGTTGCAGCAGAATTTTGTTGGATCTGAAAGTTTTTTCTTCGAGCAGGTAACTATATCTTGAATAGTTCTTGCACCACATTCGGGATCATTTATAGACCATGCTTTCTTCATATCATGACGTTGTTCTTTTGAGCATTTACACCACAAGCATGAATGCTTGCTGGCAAATCCAGCGATGCCCATGATCTGATTGAGATATTTAAGATCGCCACCAAGATATTTCTCAACCTCAATATCCTGTCCATTAACAGTAACACATGTTAAAGTTTCGAATTCCGTAATCAGTTCACATAGTGCAGATTTGAGAGATGTATTATCTTCCCTACATTTGACAATGGCTAAAAGATAGTTTCCATGCTCAGACATACAGGTTTCTTCATCAACAAGAGTATAAGACAAATTGACAAAGGATTGCTTGCATGTTATTCGTGTACCATCTCCACTTAGTTTTATCCTGACCTTGCCATCCTTCACGACATGTGCCCTCTGTGGGTCTGCTAATTTCTCGACAAGTGAGCTAGAAAGGGAGGTGTACACCCCTGGATACTCGGGAGCTGTCTGAACTATATTAATTCTTTTATTGAGCTCATGACGTCTTTCAATCACTCGGCATGCTTTTGGAAGCGTTGATTTAGATTGAGCAAGTTCGTGATAACCTCTGTTGGGAATATTGTACTGGTCCAGAATAAATATCATTTCATCAATGTCATCCTTACAGTATTCTGTTGTTATTTTTCTTTCATTGCCACAGTGAACTACCACCTCATCTCCTAATTCATCCTTGAATGTGATACTGACAGGTTCGCAAGTTGAGGTTGAAACATTTTTGAGTGCTGATTGGAGTGACTCCAAGTGTTGTTTTTTTTGTCGTCTTTTCTGCGATTTACTGTAGTCTTGTTTGCCTTTGGCTTTTCCTCTCTTTCCAGACCTGCATTTCCCGACATTGTTTAATCGGTCTACTTTCCTTGACATTTCTTGATTTTGTTCTTGCAATTCTCCCAAAACACGTCTTGTATTTATCAACTCATCCTGCATAAGTAACATTTCTTCTTCTACCTTTTGCAATTCTCTTTTAGTTGGTGAACCAGTACGGTGGGGCATTCTCAAAGTGTAGTTTGTTTTCCTCCATTTTTTGAACAGCGCTTTCTTTTTGAAGCCAGATTTCTTCACAAGTTTAAATTTGCGGAGCAAAAACTTAATTTTCTCAGCAAGTACTTTCAATACTCTTCCTGTGTGAATCTGCTCTCTGTTTATATGGTACTTAGTTAGAATAGTTTGCAGCACACATTCAATGTTTTCAGGGTTGAGGGAACAGGGTTGCTTGCCAAGTTGTACAAAAACAAGTTGTTCAACTGCAAATTAACAACATGGGGAAACTCTTCAAAGTAGGCGTCTTCAGGCAAGGCACTTGACATGTGAAGACACACGCAAAATGTGAGTAATACACACATCGAATTTACCATGATGTAATCGTACAATGTGACGCAATCAATATGGAAAGATAATTGTGTTGCCAAAGCTCACAACATGGACAATAAATAAATAACATGTACTACATCAGTGTATTAGCTAGCCACCTACGAGGGATTGTTTTGAACTCTCTTTTGTAAAAAATCACACCCAGGTTTGAGCATAATTTACATGCAGTATATAGGGGATGAAAACCCCAGATTTCAACCAAATGAATAAAATGGCAATGCACACCCAGAGTGTGGATTTCTAGCTAATACAGTGTTTCTACTTCAATTATATAATTAATTCCACTTTAGTAAACAGTGCAGCAAAGGATAAACAGCAGCAATAAATTAAAGCTGCAATGTATGCATGTCTAGTGCATTTCCCCGATCTCGTACAAACCCAAACACTAAGACATATCCACGATGGGTATATATGCATTCACCTTCTGCATTGAATTCAGCCAAGGGTGCTCTCTCAGTCATGCGAAAGTTGACGGTACCATCCACAACACGGGAGAAGTCCTTGTTGGAATTAACAATCCTGAAGTGCCAGTTTTGACCAAGCAGGCCATTCAAGTCACCAAGATTTCTTAGTGTATACTTCCCATTTGAGTTAATTTGTCCTTGTGATCTCAGAGGCTCAAATGCGTCTCTTTGGATGGGAATCCGTGATCTCCACACTACTGTCTGTATTTCTTTGAATGTGAAGACTCTCCTTTATGTTGATGGCCAGTTGCAAATAAAAGAATGCTGTTGCCTCCTCTGTTGTTTCGACGAACTTATCTGATATATTCACTACTTCATTAAGAGGTCTCCACTCGTCGTATTTTTTTGTCCCAGTCAATGTAATGCACTAAAGCATAAACTGTATCGTCCTCTGTCTTGGAGTCCAAAACAATCAGAGGGTAGAGTTTTGATGTTGACCACTTGGCCTGCTTCTGGCTGTCTTTTGGAATTGCTGTTCCTTCCGCCAACGCTTTGTAATCCAACCTCTGTATGTTTCTCTTTGATCGTTCTGCCATGAAAATCTGTGGACATTAATAAAAAAAAACGGTTGTGTTTCGCAGTATAGCATGAGACATGGGTATTTTTGACATTTTTACAGCGTGATCCTAGTATCGTTGGGGCCTATGCATACTTGCATGACACCATGCTGACTAGGTTTCTGACAAACATGACAAAAGACTGGGGCTAACATCATTGTCATGATGGTATAAGGCAGCAAGGGATGACAATATTTATATTGTGAAGAAAGTGCAATTTTTAAAGGCACAAGCATTTTCAAACGTTCTTTAAAAATTATTAATATTTATTAATTATTAAGTAGTGTACTCTCATTTTCATAGAAAATTGAGTGTTTATATTTCACAACTTTGGGGTTTTCTTTTACGTACTACAAGTTCAAGCCTCCTTTCACATTTATACAGCGATCTCGCGCCATTTGTCTCCTAGTCCTAGTGCTTAATATATACCATCCTTACCTATTATCCGAATGGAACGGTCCCCAGCGGAAAGATACTTCCAAAATCAGACGACTTCCATCTGAAAACGCTGGGAAAGACGTCGTTTCTCGCCAGAGAATTTGACAGTTTCGATGTCTTACCAAAACCGACTCCTCTCAGGATACAAATATAAGTCGGGATACAAATAATATGGCATAAGTTGGTTGTAAAAGCACAAAAAAGAGACGAAACGTGGCACTACTATCGATCGAGTGTGGCTCCGAAATGCAGGTCAGAGTGCACGTACGTATGCAAGCTTCGCGGGAAGTTGTCACGTGACCAACGTACGCTTACAACAGCCTTTTTTGTAAGGAGGGGGCTTATTGGAAGCAAACTTTAGATGAAAAATGATCCGTGGATTTTAAGCCAATCAAAATGAAGTTTACATGGAAGAAAGAGGGGTTCTCTCTCTTTACAAAACCGTTCACCCCAAAGTTCGATGACCTTTGGTTCTCTTGCTGCGTTAAGTCAAAGACGACGGGTCAGTGTAAACACGGGCAGTTTGGCCAGTTCTCAATGCTTCTCCATAGATAACTGCGGCGGAGTGCAAACATTTGAAGACAAAACGATCCCTGGTTTGTTCGAAAAGGTTTACGAAACATACATGATGGAAAAGCCTGAAACGTATTCTTTCATATTCCGTTCACCCCAAGTTAATACGATGCTCCGTTCAAAAGATACAGCAATGTTAGAACAAAAGTGCCTCCATTTTGAGAGGTTTGACCGCGTTTAAGCTCCGTGTACTAACCCGGGGAAGCGGATGCGCGCTTGTTTTCATAAAAAAACAAAAAGTCCGAATGGTTTTCTTTCGCCCTACTCCTCCCCACTTTTAAAGGCATATTGGATAATGTTCCTTTATCCCAAAAGTAGGCATATAACCTAGAGCCAATCATTATCATAAACGCATTTGGATTGCAGATAGTACTGGTACTAAACACCCTTTGAAATTACTTCATTTTGGCTTGCTGTTATTATTTTAGATGAAATATATAATATGATGTACTGGTAGGCAATTCTAACGATCAATTGACTAGGAAAGAAAGAGTCCTCTTGACAAAATCGTCTGTCGTGATCACAAGATCATGTGCTTGTTTATTTTACTGCTTTCTGAAAAAGTGTTATAGCCACTGAGGTGAAACTTCAACGGGTTGAGTTTTGAAACAGTCTTCTTTAAATTTTCAGTACGATTGTTGGACGCGAACGGAATGCATATAAAGCAAATAATCTTGAGAGATGAAAAGATTCTCCACCCTTAATTATGTACACTGGACCATTTTTACAGTAGGCTTAGTTGGCTTAGTTGATCAGAACTAGCATGAATATTGTTTACTTGTCAAACTTTTGCTCCCTTTAAAATAAACTGACCTTGCGACCCATTCGAAGTCGTCCAGTCTGAAACGCAACGAACGTCATCTTTAGCACGACTGCGGACGCATAGGTGGCATACAACCGAAACACGGGGTTGTCGCTGAAGCTCAATAGTGTGGAAGCAGCCATGTCGGGGGAAAATACACTCACACACGGTGTACTGGTCAGGATGCGTGGCGAATAGGCATGTATAAGATGTATAAGTGTCAATACATGTACGTGTGCTCTCGTATGAAACGAATTCTAACAATAACCGTCCGAACAGAGAGCGGCGTGAATTCGAACGTCCTGTTTAAACTACCAGTTTGCACTCTGTTTGCAACACAAAGAATCAAACAGCCAACCCTGTACGAGGTTCGAAAAGTGTGTGAACACGCACACTCACGATATCTCACGCATGACACAGCTTAAAAACGTTGCTCCGGGTCACTAAACAATTCCAATTTTTTTTCTGCTCTGCACTTTTTATTGTTAGTAAGCCCAGCCTATCTTTGACCCCGGCGTAATAGTAGTAGGGTGACGTTGCAAATAAAACGTTCGGATGCATGGATGTCGCCAGGGTTCTCTTTCTCTATCTTATTCTCATTTTTTTTTTTCGAGGGTGGGCGGGGGACATTTTGCCCACCCACCCTCATATGACACCCTGCAGCCTGCGCCATTTTTTTTATAATGTGTATTAAATTAATAACAAATATGACTCCACACCTCTTTATCTTTTCTTTTTGTTCTCATTTTATTTTCCCTTTTTGGTTTTTATTTTTTGTATTTCTGGGGGGGGGGGGGGGGGGGGGAGGAAGCGCCTTCTTGCGCCCCACGCCCCCACTCTCGTGACGCCCATGTTCGGACCGATGTAAATCTGTGCACAGCAAGTGCAACGACTAGGTTTGTGGGGTTAATGTTTTAGTATCTGTCCTATCTGCGTTTTAAAAACTGTTAACAGCTTAAATGTGTGGAGTCAAAGAAAACAAAGTGATAACTGGAGGAGAAGTAGTGATAGTGGGGGTACCAGATCAAAATGGAAAATCTGTGGCAAGCCTGAACACGTCGCTCTCGTTTCTCAAAAATCACACGTCGCTCTCGTTTCTCAAAATCCCCCGATCCCAATTTTTTTAAAAACCCCGACGTCGGGTACCGGATCAAAATCCCCCGAGACAAAGTTTTAAAAAAATCTGACGTCGGGTACCGGATCAAAAATCCCCCGATCCCAATTTTTAGAAAATAATCTGATCAAAATCCCCCGAGGCAAATTTTAAAAAAATCTGACGCCAGGTACCAGATCAAAAATCCCCCGATCCCAATTTTTAGAAAATAATCTGATCAAAATCCCCCGAGGCAAACGTCAGGTACCAGCCTTTACCCCTTTTCAATGATTCCCCGCCCCCTCCCCACCCCTTCTCTCTCCCAATATATCCCCCTCTCAATATCTCAGTCTCGAAATCAGGCCAGGTTCTTCATATTTACACAACACAGACTCACAGCGACTGGTGCGCGAGTCTACAGTCACTTATAAATAAATAAACAAACAACGTTTTCTTAGGTTTACAAATCAAAGTTTGAACTTTTATTAAAAAACATGTTACTTTAACAAAACATTTTTAAAATCTACCATTTATACACAACATATAGAAAAGCACATGTATTTATGACATCATCGTTACGAGGGCCACTCTCAGTTATTAATTTTTAACAGAGGCAGGGTCAAGGTCCATTACTGGGGGTCACATGGCGCACAGCTGGATATTCTAACAAGCTCGCCGCGGGGAGCCACTTGATAATAGATGAATATTATAATTACTTATTTTTATGAGTCACTGTGTTTTACGTTTCGGTTCTGTAATTAATTCTGGCGTTTATGACATTTGTGCGGGTATAACATCGCTGTGTACTCTCGTCAATTACTCTACTGGGAATTTCCACTACAGTCAAGCTCTCATAGATTATGAAATAATTGATCGCACTCCAAAAAAAATGAAAAAAATAAATATTATGTTTTCTATAATAAAATGGAGAGTAATAATATGTTCAGACCGTCCGTCAAAGGATATTCTAAATGGAACAAAGCCACACTGCGTGATTACGTGCAGCGGTATAATATACCGCACAATGAAAATGTTTATCTTACTCGTAAAGTCTACATTGATGGGATAAAGAATTATGAAAGTCAATTTAAAAACTTGAGGAAAAAGAGACTAGATGAGCTCAAACAGATTGTAGACAAACACAATCTAAAATACGTACCGACGGGTTATAAAGGACGATTTTTGAAAAAAAGATTTAATCTCGACGATTAAAACATACAGACAACCCGAAGACTTTACAGAGTCAGCTTTTAGAGAAACGAGAAGGTTTAAAAATTACTACAGAAACTGGGAATTAAACCCCAGACTTTATAACCACGATTTAATCAAGTTTTTTGATTCGCACAAGGAAGAAATAGTCAATAAAATCAAGTCTGATTTGAGAGAGCTAAGAGGTTTAAAAGTAGAGCTTGTGATAAAAATAAGGTATCGAAAAATCAAACCGAACGATATCATCGAAACAATCGAAGCTATTCATTATAGCAAGCCGAAAGCCGTTTTAAATCAAAGTCAAATAAAACAGGTTTTAAAAGAAGAGATCGATGAGCTATTTAAAAAGGATGAAAGGTGTACGAATCAAGGATCGGGTTGGGTAGTCGATACAATACTCGCGTTATACATCAACATCAACAGATATAATCCAGCGAGAGGTAGTTCTTACATAGGCCTACCCGAACATCTTAAAATTAAACAGGCGATGATCAACGTACAAAACAAAGACGACGAGTGTTTGAGATGGTGTTTGAGATCTGCCTTGGGGTTATACACGGACAAAGTAAAAAATCAAATAAGAAATAATCCTAATTACAAAATCAACGAAAGCAGACCGTCGATTTACATCAAAGACGACGGACTCAAATTTAAAGGCGTTGACTTTCCGACACCGGTCGATCAGATACCCAAGATAGAAAGACAAAATAATTTATTGATAAACGTATACGGTTATGAGGGTGAGATATATCCATTATACGTGTCTAAAAACTACGGGTCACTAGAGATCGATCTGCTTTTGATTTCTAAAGGACGCTGCAGGCTATTAAAAATACCCAGATCTATCAAGGGTGAGAGAAAAGAGGTGGTCATTACCCACAATCCTAGTAGTATATCGGCGGGGCAAACGCTGAGGGTCAAGTTTCCTCAATTGAGCGTAGACGACGTGATCGTACCTGGCACTTGTAAACTAGCTTTCAATTTAGAACTCGACGGTGGAAGCGACAACAATAGAACCATTTTTGGCAATTTGGCCAGAAATGTAGTCAGCGAAATCAGCGTCATACTTCAAGGTCACGAAATCGTGAGTTATCGTCACGCCGACGTTTATCACAACTTTAAAGACAATTGGCTCAACAGCTCGACGACTCGAAACATGGCGTACTCGGGCATAGAAAAAGAAAACGTGTCTAAACTAAGAACTGGGGCTGAAGATGCTAACGCGGGCGCCAACAACGGTAAAGATCAAGCTATCGCAGATGCCTATGGTAACAGATATTGTATTCCCCTAGACATTGACATACTGACTTCGCATCACCCTTTTTACCCCAGCGGTTTAAAACAACCTCTGACGTACAAGATAAAGTTTAACGATCACGATAAAGTAGTTCAGTTCAGATACGGCGGCGATGTACAGTGTCTCAGACTTGTCTCTCGAATACGAAGTGGTGACCAACAGAGACCTAGCTATTACCATCAGAAATAAACACAAGGGGCAATATCTGTTTGATAAAATCCACTCGCTAGAAGTTAGATCCGTCAACAAATCGGACACGCTTTGGAACGTCAGCGTCAATCAACCCATCTGGAGTCTCAAGGGTATTCTGTTTTTGTTTAAAGATCCCACTGAGAAAAATCCGCAGCGATTTTATAATCCAAAACTAACCAAAACATCGGTGACTGTAGAAGGTAAACCCAATCAACTCTACAGTCAAGGCATGTTTCAGTATCAACACTGGAACGAAATTAGCAAGTTCTTTGGAGACAGCGATACCGAAAGCAGGCGCGGAGTAGCTAAAGACTTAAATTTGACGGGTTTTGACCTCGGAGACTATCTAAAAAACAAGTACGGTCTGTGGCTCGATTTTAGAAGTAACGACGACAATTCCGCTCACGGATCCGGTAGAAAACTTGGAGACGGAGTTGGCATCAACATTCCATTTAACTGAGAAGCCGAAAACCAAGGTGACCTCACGATGTACGTCTTTTTGGTCATGGATGCTCAATTGAACTTGGAAGACGGGAATTTTAAATCTCTGTTAAGTTAAAATGACACAACCGCATTGCGCTTTAATCGTCGGCAAAACAAATTCGGGTAAAACCAAATGGATTTTGGAGCTGTTAGAGTCAGACTATAAAAACGTATTTGAAGTTATAGTCATCATTTGCCCTACCATATTTAAAAACAAAACGTACATCGAAAGAAAGTGGATTCACGCAGATCCCGAAGTATACCTCTGCGATCCGGAATTGTACAAGATGACGCTCAACGAAGCGATCGATTTTTACAGGAAAATATTCGAAGGTGTTGCTACGTTGTTTATCGTAGACGATTGCTCTTCGGATCAAGAGATTAAATATCGTAAAAAGACGTGCGCGCTAAGCAAGATGGCGTTTAGCGGAAGACACGTAAATCACAGCTGTTGGTTATTGACACAAAAGTACAACAGCGTTTTAAAAGATTATAGAGAAAATACGGCTTGGTTGGCGTTATTTTATTGCAAGGATAAAACATCGTTTGATCAAGCGTTAGACGAAAATGACGTCGTGCCGATTGAAGAACGAGATTATATAAAACGACGTTTGAGAGATGTGAAATATAGTAAATTGGTCGTATACACCGAACCTCCAGTTAGTTACGAGCTACTTGAGTAGCTAGATAACCTAGCTGCGCAAGTTAAATAAGCTAGGTGCTCAAGTTAAATAAGCTAGGTGCTCAAGTTAAATAAGCTAGGTGCTCAAGTTAAATAAGCTAGGTGAGTAGCAACCTATTCAACCAACTACACATGTATTACAATTTGCTAATCAACAAAAATCAGCAACCTATTCAACAAACGTTAACAAAATACATTTTGCTGTTAGTAAATGATAGCAATATTCGAGTATTTTCAGTTTTTGGTTATTATCATCATATCGCTTAATCTATCGTTTTACACCTACGAATATCTCCGCTTTTGTAACAAAGTTGCAACAGCTACAACAAAATTAAATTCGTTTCTAATTA